CCAGGCTGAAGACTGGCGAACGTCTCAGATGAGCCGAATTTAAGATTGGAAAAAGAGAGAGAGAAGCGAGGAAGAAAGGAAGTGGGATCTGAAGTAGGAACGCAGCTTTTCCACCGAGGGTGCAGCCCATCAAATCAGCCTCCTCTGCCTTCTGCAGCTTTTTCCAGATGCTTTCCCCCACCCAACACACACACACTCACACACACACACACGTGGCTCCCAAGTTCCACCCACTTTCTTTGACATTCCCAGTGCAAGGTGTCACCATACCATATCTCCAAGTTCTCAAACTTCTTGTGACGCAATCTGTTTTGGCAGATTTATCGTTCAGAAATCTAAGATCTGTAATTCAGGTTTCATTTCAGAACCAGCTAGCCCAGGGAGTTATTCTAATGTGTCTTCAGAAGAATCCCTGTATTCTGCGGCTCCTTCGCTAAAGGGGCTTGTGCGGCATGAAGCGGCCAGGTGGTCTCTCCATTCATTTTGCCGCCTTCGGCCACGTGGGTTAATGCACTTGGAGTAGATCTTTGAGATCAGAGGGCTCCAATTACGCAGCACTGAAGTCCCATTGATCTGAATGATTCTTCCTTAATTTTGGCTAACCTAGTCTATGAACTTGAATAACCCATCTTGCGTAATCCTATAATTGGCTGGGGCATACGCTGCTTTTTAGGGCTGCCTTTGTAAGATTGTACCTTAAATACTAAAAAATATGTTACCAGTAAGCATTCTTGTATTTTTTTTTTAATTTCTTCTCATTGTATGAAATTAAATTTCTTTTGGCAATCTGTGGACTATTAATAAACTTGATACTGACGCTGAATTAAATTTTTATTTTATTTTACTTTATCTGGACAATTACTTCTCAAGGATTGGGCTAGAAATCCCAGGTCATGAACAAACTTCCAAAAGCAAACCTAGAGTGTTTTTAAGTTCACAAGAGATACAATGCCAGGAAGGAGGGTGACAAAAAAAGAAAACCAGTTTCTGTCCCTCATTCTCTTCCTTTTCAGCTTCTACACCCCATTCCTGCAATTCTTAAAAAAAAAGGCAAAACCAGTCAAAAGTAAAAGATGTTTTGACTGGTAACATTTTATTAACACTGTTGAGGACAAAAACAGCCCCTCTTGTTTCTTGTCTGTCCATGAGAGAGAGAGGCAACACCAGAAAATTGTTTTATCCACAAAAAGACTCTTTGTTGTAGATGCACACCAACAGTGGAGAGTGAGCCCATCTCCTCATTTAAAATTAATATGTAGGTGGTGTCTGATAGCAAATCTTTCACCAAATTGTTGGGAGAGGTTGCTAAATATTTGTATTTCTTTCATATGTAGTGGGCTCGTGATACAAATAGTTGCAATGCAATTTTCAGTTATATTTCCAAATAACTTGCAGCCTGTGCCACCTCCTTAGTAGCTCTTCTTTCTGTTTTCCATGATGCACAAAAGCAGCGGTGACATAAAGACCCAGCTTACCAGCAGTAGCGAGAAAGGTTATACTGTGATACCCAAGAATGAAAATAGGATACGCTGAGAACGGACAGTTTCTGTGAAGTGAAGAGGCGACTCTTCCATGCAACTGACAAAGCGCCACTGGCTGATCAGGAGCTCTTAGAAATATTGATCCTCCTCGTTACATACCAGTGGCTGAAGAGCCCGGCTTTCGCTCCAGTCCACTCACACAAGTCCCCCCCCCCCCCCACAGGCTGCCTGAGAGTGCAGCTCCCAAGGGCGTCCTCTCAGTTTTTCCTATGGAAGGAACGCTTTCCAAGCCACTGCTTGAAGATACATGGCAGGACATGTTTATCTTGCATCTTGCCCTTCCATCGGAAAAGATGTGCGGAATGTGTGAGGCGGAGAAAAGATCTGCACACCGTTCTTAGGGTAATGGAAAGCAGTGAAGTCCTGGCAGGCAGGGGAACTGATGGACAAAGCGAATTTCCAAAAATCAATTAAAAAATTCTTAAATGTTCAAAAATTATGGAAAAAGGGAAAAGGATCCTTTCATTTAAAGGGTTTAAGGAAAAACACTTTGAATACTTGAGTGCATGGTGCCCCACTGTGAATTATGATTAACAATAATGCTGTATCCCTCTCCATGAAAGGTTTAGCTATCACACAGACACACAACATTGCCTGTACGCATGTTTTGCTCCCCCCTACTCACACGCGTGCATGCACATCCACTCCCAAAATGAGTGTGCTAGGAGTGTGAGGCCGTGCTGGCTCAAGCAAGCGTCTCTCCGGTCGCAAAGCTCTCGACTCGCTGTCCAATGGTGGTGGCTGTTTCTCGGAGAGGCAGGTGGCAGGCCCGGCTTTCCAGCCCTCCTGGCAGCCAGCTGAATTATTAACATTGCCCTTGCTAGCCCCAGGCACAGGCGCCGCAAGCACCCGTTTCCCCGGTGCTGGGACACTCGGCCCTTTCACTGGCGTGCTTTTCCATCGCCTGTCTGAAAAGCATCGGATAAAGGCGCACCGTGGCGATCCTCCCGTAGGGTGAAGGTAAGTGTGCCTTGAGTGTTTGGGATTATAACGCTAGAGAAGGCTGCAGCAACACCAGTCCAAGCCGGTTTCTGGGCGAAGGTTTTCTCATGAGGCCTTGCCTCTTTTCACCTAATGGCCTCTGTATTTTTTCATCATTGTACTTACTCGGGAAGGGAAGAATAATAACATATCCGCAAAATGCTTTCTAATGGTGACTGTTCGGACCTGCCATCTGGAAGCACACCAACACAGTAAAAGGCAGAATTGTTCCTTTGGGACATGGATCATTTCCTATGTTTGGTGATGTTAAAAAGATGTTTAAATGCATTTTCTCAATGCGTTTAAGGTGTTTCAGTTTGTAAGGTGACAAAACCATGAAACTGTGAATCTTGCTTTGGCAAACTGAAAGCTATGAGAAAAGAACTGGCATTTTCTGCAGGCTTGCACACAAAGCACACATAATCTTACTGAGGCTCACGCAGAAGATTTTTTTTTTATTTGCTGTTGTTAGTTGCGAAGACATGTCCGAGCCATCACAACCCCATGGAGAACACTCCTCCTGGCCTTCCTGTCCTCCACCATCCCCCAGAGTCCACTTAAGCTCACAACGACTGCCTCAGTGACTCCATCCAGCCACCTCATCCTCTGCCTCCCCTTCTCCTTTTGCCATCTATTGTTCCCAGCATCAGGCTCTTCTCCAGGGAGTTCTTCCTTCTCATTAGGTGGCCAAAGTATTTGAGCTTCAGCTTCAGTATCTGGCCTTCTAAAGAGCAGTCAGGGTTGATCTGCTCCAGGACTGACCGGTTTGATCGCCTTGCAGTCCAAGGGACTCGCAGGAGTCTCCTCCAGCACCACAGTTCAAAGGCCTCAATCCTTTGGCACTCAGCCTTCCTTATGGTCCAGCTTTCACAGCCATACATTGCAACTGGGAGAACCATGGCCTTGACTGTATGCACTTTTGTTGGCAGGGTGATGTCTCTGCTTTTTAGTTTTATTTATTTATTTATTACATTCACATAAAAGCTGCGCCATTAGCATTCTGCGCTCTGGGTGGCCATTACAATCAAAATCAATAATAACATTAATAAAATAATCTGTGCACCAAATATCTGCAAAATTTTATTTCAGAACCCCTCCAACTCTCTCTCTCTCTCAAAACATTGAAATATTGCTGTTGGACACTATGTACTCTGTCTACGAAAATATTCTTTGGAGTGAATGTGGAATGACAGTTCGCCTATTCATCCCTAAGTCAATTCTGCTCAGTTCAATGGGGCAAGCTTCCCAGGGGATAGCACTGGGTTGTAGCCTTGATCTATCTTCGGCAGCAAACAAAGTCATAGAAATGAGATTCAGCTTCTTGTGCATATTGTTCCATTGTTCTTATTTCCTGTTCAAATGATTCCTTTGAACTGTGCTGATTTATGCTTGCAACTCTGTACAGTGGCGCCTTGGCTCACGAACTTAATCCGTTCCAGGACTCTAGTCGTGACCCAAATTGGTCATGAGGCAAGTCAAATTTCCCCATAAGGGTCAATGTAAATAAGGTTAATCAGATCTGCAACTATTTTTTTTAATCAGAAAAATGTGAAGCAAAGTGACAAAGAACAACAAAGATTGCGGCCATCTCCAGCCCCTCAGCGATCATGCAGGGGGGTGCGGGAAGATGGGCCCGGATGGAGGCACACCGGGGACTCGCCGGGGGGAGGTGGGCGCGGATGCGGGCGCGCTCAGGCGAGGAACACGAGCGCAATCACGGCCATCTCCCCCCCCCCCCCGCCCGGCACGACTGCGATCGCGCCCGTGAAGGGAAGGCGGGCTGCTTGCAATCATCATCCAATGCAGAGTTCACAACCTGCAGCCAAATTTTTATGAAATTTCTGTTCACGACCCGATTTGGTCGTGAACTGAGGCGTTCGTGAGCCGAGGTGCCACTGTGATTGCAAATTTGCCTTGAAGCATTCTGGAACTAAACATGGACAGCAGATGATGTCTCCCGCCCAAAGCTCACATCAGCCCTGTATTCCTGGAAACCTCTTTTTAAAGAGCAGTTCAGTATTTTAAATAAATACATATGTAAATAAATGCATTTATGATTAGATTTGATTCTCTTTAAGATGAACAGGCTATGCAGAGCAGCCTGCCACAAAATACACTGAGATGGCTTGGAATGAGCTCCAGGCTCGCAACTTGCCTGTCCTACCATTTCTTCCTTACATTGTTTTGAAACATGCTTTTTAAACATGTTCCTGTTAGCATGGAAGGAAGGCCTGACTCTCTCTTGAATTCAAGGCAAGAGAACCCACAGTGACGCGGACAACCCATGCCCATATGAGCTTCCAACTTCCTTAAAATAACAGTAAAGTATAGGAACGTTGGCTTCAGTCAGTCCTTCTTTACTATTCTTGGAGTAATTTACAGGGGGTGCCAAGGGGTTGGTATATTAATCAAGTTTTCTTTCTGTAAACATTTATTTGCTTGTCCAGCAGGAGTAGAAGGTAGAGGAGGAGGCCAAAGATGTATTTCCACTATGCACTGTGGCTTTGGATTGCTCTTTGCCTCGGTGACTCTGGAGTGCAGCACGCCTGTCAGGAAATCTGCTTCTGCAAACAGGGGACCCTCTTTGTGAACTGTTCAGGGGCCAGTGTAAGCGCTGATCTGATTTTGCCCCCCGAGACAGAACATCTGGATCTGTCAAACAGCAACTTGCATTCTGTACCAAGGAGAGGCCTGAGACTGCTGCGGAGGTTGCAGGTTCTCCTTCTGAGCAGCAACCACATCAGCGGAATGGAACAGAGCCCGTTCATCTCCCTGCAGAGACTCCATAAGCTTGATATCTGTAAAAATGAGATCGCATCCCTTGGAAACAGTTTTTCAGTGGGGCTTATTTTTCTCTATGAACTCACTTTGGCCTACAATAGGCTGCAAGAACTGCAATACCAGAGTTTCCAGCACTTTGAGAATCTTCAGAAACTGAACCTGCAGAACAATAACATCTCCTCTATACAGGCAGGTGCTTTTCGCAGCCTGACTCGCTTGAGGCAGCTTTGCCTGCAGCACAACCACCTCGCCACCCTGCAGAGCGGAGTTTTCTCAGTGCTGCAGCACTTGGAGGTTTTGAACTTAGAGGGCAACTGGATCAAAGCCATCGCGCCGGGAGTCTTTGCTTCTCTGAGCAGGCTCACCGTACTTAACTTGGTCCACAACAGAATTGAACGCATCCGATTCAAAACGTTGCTAGCCCTTCAGACGCCTGGAACTCGCATCTTCCTCACACACAACCCATGGTACTGTGACTGCGACCTCCAGAGAGTCTTTGCAAAGCTGCACAGCGTCAGGAGCCTGATTTTGGACGACTATCCGAATGTGACGTGCAATGAACCTCCCGTGCTCAGAAGTCTCCCACTGCTGTCTGTCGAAACGCAGCTGTGCATCGCCGAGACGGTGACGGTCCTTGTCATAACGGCCACCGTCTGCATCACGGTGGTAGCTGCCATTGTGATGGCCGAAAGAAACAGGAAAAAGCGGACAGGGAAGCACTGGAGCGAGGACAGCGAGGTCTCCTACCACATCGCTCACTGACTGGACTGAGTTCCTGACGCTCGCAAGCTTCGCGCACGTTTTGCCTAAAAGGGCAGCTCATTTCGTTTCATTCTCTCTTTTTAAAAGTGTTAGAAAGAGGTCGGACACGACTTCGCGACTAACAACAAAGTCATCAACTTGGGTCATTCTATGAACAGGAGAGTTCATTCAGTAAAACCGTTTTTGCAGTCTACACAAGCTATGCCTCCTTCTTCATGACTCCCGAGTCCACTGGGGCAACAGACTCCTCACGACAGATGAGAATTCGCTCTATTGCCTTTATCTTAAAGAGGAGTCCCATGTTAAACTCTCGCGAGCAACTTCAGTTTCTCTGGGAGAAAGCACCGGCTGGTGGCACCCCTTAATTGCTAGCAGAAGTAGCTATAAATTGCAAAGGACAGGACCTCATTTGATTTTATTTTCTGTAACATGTAGTGTATATGGACCAATGACATTTTTTGGATTTTTAAAACTTGTATATTTGATGTATGTATTGTGCCTATTTCTGGTGTTTTAACGACGTTTGTGGGCTGTGTTCTTTTTCTCTCTCTTCTTGCAAAGGCCGTTGGCCAAAAGCAAATAACTGTGTTGAAGGTGATGATGCTCGCAGACTCCACCATTTGCTGTGGTTGCCACAGCGCCCCGCGAGCAGGGCCTGCCCTTTCAGCTCCAGTCCACGGACAGCTCCCAGGACCCGTCTCTCCACTTCTTTGGCTCTTCCCCGATGGTGCAGTGGGAAATCCTGTTCCTACCTTAAGGGGAGCTCTGAGAACGTGGGGCCTGGGATCAGGGACACCACGTGGCACAATTGCCCGGTCTTAAGATTCCACAGCCAGTTGTGTGAGTTCAGGGCCCCGTTTTTGATACACGGCGAGCTGAATCTGCCATTCAGATTGGCCATCCTTTGCCCTTACATCTAGAAATATTTTAATATCCTTGCAGTGTGTAGCCCACCCAGGAACCACATGTAGCCGCTTTGAGTTCCACAGTGGAAGAAAGGTTTAATTGTATTATTAATAAATAAATAAAATCCAGAAAAAAACCATCTTTGGGGGAAATGGCAAATAAAGATGTAGCCCCGAGGGATTTTATCATTATTAAAAGTATTTTATTCAGAAACCTCTCTGAAGGTTCAAGTTTTGCCCTATACCAACCCATTAAAATGTACACTAATACGGTATTTTAGCACCATTACTTTTTTATTTTTATGTTAAAGATGTGGTACCATTTTTATAGTCTGCTTACAAGCAACAGCCAAATATTTTTTTTTTAAATCTATCTAAATTCTTATAGCACAGATCATACATACAGTGCAAATTATATGCATTACCTCAGGATCCCAATGTTTTTCTTCTCGGTTGCTGCAGCATCATATTTCTCCAGTATTCAAAATATGATCCCCAGGGAAAAAATATCCAGATGTACCATACACAGATGTCAGAGTTGCTTCTTGTGCCTGATTTGGAGAGTTTCTAAAGTTGTCCAGCCATATTTAGATAGTGCTGAATTTGGTACCGAAAACAATTCTGGATTGATATACATAAGGATGGTAAATTACTGCTGCAAAGTAAGTAATTTGACAAAATAAAGCGTTCTTAAAAATCTGTTTGGAGGAACTGAGATTATCTGTGCATAGAAAGGGTTGGTTGAAAAAGCTATCTGAACTTTTCTCAAATTTTGGAATTCAACTAGGCTCTAAATCCAATGCTGACAGCTTAGCTGCTCTATCTGAAAACAAAGGGCATTTGATATAGGAGTCTAAGATAAAATAGCTGTTCTCACATCGTTAAAAACATCGGTGTGGTCAGGTGACATAAAACAACAGCTCCACTATGAGAACCGCTTCTCCATCCCTATGAAAATGAGCACCGGGAAGCCCTCGTCTGCTTAACGAGCAGACTGATGAAACAGAGGAACCGCAGTGGAGCACCAGCCCTTGAGCATTTCTTTTGCTATGTACTTGAGATACAAGAGAAAGATATTTAGGGCCCCTCTTGAAGAATCTGCAATGCAGGGGTACAAGCAAGAAACTGAGCTCTTGACGACAATCATCCAGCCAAGGGTTGCAATGAGCCCGTCTGGCACCCAGCTGCAGCATCTCCAGTCTCGCTCGCAAGCCTCACAGCAAGTGGAGGCAGGAAGAGGGCTGTGAGTGCCTGAGGACCCGCCACGGCGCAACCAGCAGCCGTCCCACCAGTGGCAGAACCAGGCGTGGAAGAAAGGGGCTGCCTGCACGGGTGTGGGGCCCGCTTCCGGCTGAGCACCCCTGAACGGCCTACTCGAGCCCGGGGAACCCAGTGATCCCCACCCCCAGGCCCCTTGCTCACACATCCCTAATCCAACTCATGTGATTCCGAGGCTGCGGCATTCACTGGTAAAGCTACAGCAACATTTTGGGCTGCAGTTGGGGTGAAGTGCATTAAAAAGGAGAAGATACGGAGGTAAGGGAGTTGTTACCAAAGGCCTTAAGCGCCAAGTGCCGTATTATTGTGGGCTAGACAGCGGACTGTAATTACACCTGTGCAGAAGATTGGTACGAGTCAGGGCAAAACGAGCAGAACCTCTGCCCTAACACGGCTGCGAAAAGCCTGACACTGTAGGACATCTTCCAACTTCAGACGGGATCCCTGACCTCATCAGGAGCCCACGTTGCAAGTCTCGCCTCCCACGTTTGCCTTGAGATGCTCACGTCCCGTTTCGAAAGATCGCCCTTTGTGAGCACACCTTAGGCAGGCTGATGTCCACCTGTCCTGAAACTTCTTCTTTTTGTATTGTGTTCAACCCTATTGTGCCTCTCGTGTACGGTGTAGGGATTCCCCACCCTTTCCCAAATTGTGTTTGGAACTGGCAGGTTATAATAGCACCTTGTGGAGACTCCGTCTTGGTAGCTCCTTATGTCAGAATAGACTGCAAATGTTCTTCTGATTGTATACCCCAGAGGACTCTCAAGGGTGACTTTTTCACACTTTCCATATGTAACTTGTACTGCGGTTGATCTGTCATTTTAGCATGCATATTTTACTTTATTTTCAAACTGTATATGAGCATTTGCAATGAACTTTTGACCAAGTAATAAATATTACACTCCATTACATGAGGAAATGAGCGGATGCATCCCCAGACAGGCAATGCTCTGGATGGTGTCCCGATGCCTGAACATGGCGTGGCCAGCTGTCCCCAAAGGGTGCCCCCAACTGACAGCACGTGATTGCACACCGCTCTGTAAGAGGCAGTCAGAGCCGCAGGGCACAGCTGCTGAGCCAGGCCGTGGGCCAGGGAGCGCTGCTGCAGCAGGAAAAGCTAGAGCTAGACCAAGTCTGGAGGAAAGAAGTGCCTAGAAGAACCAAAAACCTTTGGGAAGAGCAGCCCGGGGGCTGCCTGGTTGACCCTGCCCAATCTGCTCCCGCATTCAGGCAGCAAGAGAGTGTGCTGGAAGCAACAAGCCGTCTCGATGCTGTTGGAGACGATCCGTGGGGTGTGCGCAGCTTCCCTCGTGGAACTTCAGAGCTGCCGTGGCTGCCTCCCCAGGTGCAGGGTTGGGGGCCACCTGTCTTCAGGGAAGCCCCTGCAGGGCCAGGGTTCCAGCCACAAGCAAGCATGTCGGAAGAGGCCAGACGAGAAGTGTGCTTGCAGGAGACGCTGGATGTGGGAAGGAAAGGGAACCAAGATGAGTCCCTGCAGTCTGTGCATTCGGGATCCTCAGGCAAGATCCCCTCGCATTCACTCCCTTGCATTCGCAGAGAGCCGACTGGATGTGCCCTGCACCAGAACCGTGTGCCTCACGCAGTTTTCCCTGCAGGACTAAGTGGCTGTGATTGCACAGGGGAGAGTGGAAGGGGGCAGACCCTGTGCTACCGCTGGGCAAGGCCACATCCCTCCCCGGTCAGCCCAGTCTCCAGGGCAGCTGTGGCCCAGGTGGAGGCTTTGCCCCGCAGAGCCTGAGCCTGCGTCCACATAGATAATTCTTGGCATTCTCTATGCACACACACCCCTTCATGGACCACTGCCTCGCCGTGGCGAAGGGGCTGGCGCAGCTCAACGCAGCTGTGAGCTCTGCCGTGCAGGGCCACCCAAGACGGACAGGCCAAAGCAGAATGCTCTGGGAAAAGGTGCTCCCCTGGAGAAAGAAATGGCAACCCACTCCAGTATCCTTGCCATGAAAACCCCATGGACAGCACCAAAAAGCAAAAAGATATGACACCGGAAGACGAGTCCCTCAGGTCGGAAGGTGTCCAATATGCTACTGGGGAAGAGCAGAGGGCTAGTACTAGTAGCGCCAGAAAGAATGAAGCGACTGGGTCAAAGCCGAAAGGACACTCAGTTGCTGATGTATCTGGTGGTGAAAGGAGAGTCCGATGCTGCAAAGATCTATACTCCATAGGAACCTGGAATGTAAGATCCATGAATCAAGGCAAGCTGGATGTGGTCAAACAAGAGATGGCAAGACTGAACATCGACATCTGAGGAATCAGTGAACTAAAATGGACAGGAATGGGTGAATTTAATTCAGATGACCATCAGGTATACTACTGCGGGCAAGAATCCCTCAGAAGAAATGGAGTAGCCATCATAGTCAATAAAAGGGTACGAAAAGCAGTACTGGGATACAACCTCCAAAATGACAGAATGATCACAGTTCGAATCCAAGGAAAACCATTCAACATCACAGTAGTCCAAGTCTATGCCCCAACCACTGGTGCTGAAGAGGCTGAAGTTGACCAGTTCTATGAAGGCCTACAACACCTTCTAGAATTAACTCCAAAAAATGATGTCCTGATCATCATGGGGGATTGGAATGCTAAAGTAGGAAGCCAAAAGATAACTGGAATAACAGGCAAGTTTGGCCTTGGAGTACAAAATGAAGCAGAGCACAGGCTGGTAGAATTTTGTCAAGAGAATACGATGGTCATAGCAAACACTCTTTTCCAACAACCCAAGAAAAGGCTCTACTCATGAACATTACCAGATGGTCAACACAGAAATCAGATTGACTATGTGCT